AGACAGTTTGATGTACGTAGGTCCTTATTTTCCATACAAATAATTTTTTTAATTAATGTGTGACTTTCGCTGGATTTTGAAATTAATTTCATTCATACCCAAATTTATTTCCAAGTTATAAAAATTGTTATCGCACAAAAATTCGTCTCAAATAATCCCGTAAAACATTGCCGAAAACAATCGTATTAATGAAAACTTGGAAATCCAAAATTTCAGAATTGCGGGTCTGGATTCAGCCCCGAATTTTTTAAAATTTGTTCACGGGGTCTGCCTGATTCCAGAATGGTATGAAATTTTGGCCTCTAGGAGTAAAGTTGAAAATGTGTGATACACAGACATTCACATTTATTATATAGATATATAAATGTATGTATGGAAATTCGGCAAAACTCAGAGTAAAAACAATCATAATCTAAGTGAATATAATTTCATATATTTTTATTTTTTACACACACACACACATACACACACACACAGTGTGGTGGGGGAATATTCGTACACATACAAATTTTTAATCTATTGTATTTTCAACTAATGAATAAACATACTTTTCATATAATTAACTGTACACAGATGCATAATAAATATGCATAGAAAATAGAAAGAAAAGTTTGATTTAATAGAAATAAATCCCATTTATCCATTTTAATGAATTATTCACTTCACAGCAATCAACATTTTCTTGTAGTTCTCGGTTAATGATATGCAAATTTTAGTTAGTATTTTTGTTAATTAAAAAGTATATTTATTCATTAATTGGAAATACAATAAATTAAAAATTGGTATGTATACGAATAATTGCTTCTTCCCACTATATATATATATATATATATATATATATATATATATATATATACACACACACACAAATAATAATTATACCCGTTTTTTTTTTGTTTGTTGTTTTTTTTTTTGTTTTTTCATTAATTCTTTCTTCTTTGGTCACGTGGTTTTATGCTATTTTAGGTTTATGCTAATTTTAGTTTTTAATGTTGGTTTTATCAGTAAATATGTTCTGTGTCATTTCCTCTTTAGCTGGCTTTCCCTGAAGATCCTTTTAGGTGAAACCTAGGTTGGTAGTTCCTGGCTCTTTAGGATTATATATATATATATATATATATATATATATATATATATAGGTTCTTACAAAAAAAGCGATACCTAAATTTTAAAATGCAGCTTAAAAAATGAAAAATTTCTCTTTTGGCTTGAATTCCATGAATTGAATTTAATATTCCCAATAAGCAAAATACTTTAATACTGTAACACTAACTTAAATTGATTGGAATCATTTTCTTATTATCCGGAAAATAGATAAAATCAACAATATTGATCAATCCGTCAACACAACATAATTCTCTTCATTAAAAAAATCTTTCAAAAATAAAAATGTACTTTTTTGAAACATTATTTGAGAAAAGTTAGCAGATTTCAAGTTTAGTTTCTGAAATTAAATATACATTACCTCTATTTAAAAATATCGCAAAAAAACATTTTTAAGACGGCGTTTTTGACTTGTTAAGTGATTCAATGGCAGCCTGATGTTAAACCGAAATTAAACTAAAGGGGGCAAGAACTAGAAAAATTACATGATGAATACAACGTGAACGCACCTTTTTATATAATTTTTAGCTACACACTATTTTTTTTTTTATTTAAATATTTTAAACATTCTAAATATTTTATTGAATTTTACGTACTTTGTCTTTATAATCTTATTTACGAAGACGCTTGTTAAATAATTACCAATAAATTCTAAATTTATTATAGGTCAGTCAGTTATGTGCTATGCGTGATTTTTTTTCCCCGCAGTTGGTTGCCATTTCTTTCTGTGGTAGACCAATTTTATTCATTTCTGAATAATTCTTGAAAGACTCATTAAGATCTGACAATTATCTAATTTTTGAAAGAATTTCCAAATCAGTGAGTTTTTCTTCGCAAAAAGACGCACATATTTCCTGTACAAATTTAGGGCCCCGTATTGAAGCCAAAAGAAAAAAACAAGATTTTTAACCAAAATGTTTAAGGTTGTCAAAGGGATAAAAAAAAAATAATAATTGTTGCATAAAAAAATCGTTTGATCTTTCCTCTTAATAATAATACAAAGCTGTTGACGATAAAACTTTGATTTTATTGTTTTGGGTAATTTTTTAAAATCAAATCCTCGTGTTTGGTAGAATTCTTATGGCTACACTCACAGACACGCACACACATGTGTGTGTGTGTGTGTGTGTATTATACGCACACACACTACAGTTCAAAAGTTTGAAGCCACCCCTGGTATGGATGAACTTGACAGGAGAGTGAAAAAATTTTTTTTCAAAAAGAGCTCTTTAGGGTCCTTGAAAAAAAGAATGGAATCAATTATTAAACTTATATTTTGAGAAACTTTTGCAATGAATGCCAAAAATATGTGCTGCAGTAATCAAGGCTAAAGGAGGATATTTTGACGTGAGCAAAATTTAATCATAAAATGCTTTTTTTCTTTTTGCCATAATAA